GCTTAAATTTTGAAAACTAGCAAGTGTGAATACACAGTTTGAGCAAAATGTCTGACACTTGAAAATTGCCTGGTCCTCCAATATTTTAATGCCGTTGTTTTACTTTACTACTACAAATCCCAGTTACTCTTTGCTGTCTCTCTGTCCTTACAATAATTTCCTCACCTACCATACTTCAATTCAATTGAAAAAACACTGTCATTGTGTACCAAGAAAACAGATCAGAAAAATGACATGCAAATTTCTTGTTCTTATTTACCTCTTAATTTTATTTCTCGTTTTACCAAAATGCATACTACCAAAATCAGTAATTGAACCATGTAGTGCATCTGATTCATGCGTTTCTTATCTCTCATATCGCCTTCCATGGGACTCCAAAATTTCCGAAATAGCTTTCAGATTCCGAATCAACGTCTCTGATCTTTTAGTAGCAAACTCTATCGATTCAAATCAACCAAATCAAATCCTATCCGAAAACTCATTATTAAAAGTACCAATTTCGTGTTCATGCGTGGATGGGATACGAAGATCTGTATCCACACATTACACGATTGGTGCAACGGATACTTTGATGTCAGTATCGGAAGGGTATGGAGGACTTGTTAGTGCAGAACAAATAGGGAATGCTAATGGGATTGATGAAGAAAATACTTTATCAAGTGGACAGAGTGTTGTGATTCCTTTGCCATGTACTTGTTTTAATAATAGCAATAATGGTGCGGATAGTGTGTATATGTCTTATGTGGTGCAGAGTGGAGATGAATTAACAAAAATTGCAACAGAGTATAGTGTCACAGTTGGTAATTTGGAGATCATAAATGGACTTGGCCAAACTCAAATTGATCCAGGGGATATTCTGGCTATTCCACTTGCTGGTAAGTAACCAAAACACACACACACACACACCAAAAAAAGAAGAAAAAAACATGTTTTGTACTATTTTCTGATGAAGGATTCAATTGATTCCACCTACCATCCTCGTGTCATACTTATGCATAATGTAATACATGTAAAATTAAGATATTTCGTATAGTACTATTTTATTCATAATGTCCCCTGCAGCATGTTCATCAGCAAATCTGAATTGGTACAACGAAAGCCTAATAGTTCCCAAGGGTTCTTATTCTTTAACTGCTAACAATTGCATCAAATGTGGATGCAGACCTACTGATTTCAGGTAATCAACAATGAAATTAGTATAATGCTACAGATTTGCAATCAATTTAGTGATAAATTTCGTTTTTTTGTTCTAATTTTTTTATGTTTGATCGAACATAGCCTGGAGTGTTTACCCTCAGGAATTGTGGAGAAATGTTCACATTTACAGTGCAAAGACTCCAATATCTTCATTGGAGAAAGGCATGAAAATCATACAACTTCTGGTTGCAATGTTACAGCCTGTATTTATCGTGGACATCTCGGAGGCAAAATATTTAGAAGGTATATACTCCCTCCGTCCCAAAATAAGAAGATAATTATATAATACTCTCTCTGGCCCAATTTATGTGAAAAAATTCAAAGTATGAGGGTCACAACACTTCATTTTCGATTTTAATTTGGATAATATTTTTCTTTGTTTGGTTTGTAGTTTGGTGAATTCAACTGATGTCAAGTGTTTAGGTAAATATTTCAGTTCATGGATATTTTTTTTAATCTTCTCAGTTATAATATTGGTGTTTTAGTTGTTTGATTATTTTTTGGGATGTGTGTAGGTAAAGAGAGTGAGGGTACAGGGTCACCAATGGAGTCTCCAGTAAGTAATTACATAGCACCATATTTGAGTCCATCACCATTATCTCCATCTCATTACTCACATTCAACCAAAAATCATTCATTAGGACTACTCAATTCCAGTTCTGCTCATAGACATACTCAAAAATCACTATCTCAACCATTACATTTTATAATCTTATTGGTTTTTGAGCTTGTCTTTGAAATATTCTTGTAAATAAAAAGAAAAGGGATAATGAAAATCAAACTTCCACCTATGGTATAAAAGATTGTTTTCTTTTTTCCCAATTTATATGGTACTTTTCACTTTCTCAATAATTACTTTGCCCAAGCTAAATTGAATTATATCAACTTAATATCTTTAAATTAACATTAAAATTAAAATATTAAAAAATATATGAAAACTACGAATATGTTGTATTTTCTTCTCATGTTAAGCAGATAAAAGAAATACACAATCTCAAAAAGCGAAAAATGCTACGTAACTTAGAGATCATTAAACTATAGCTCAGTCCTGGTACATGGTAGGTGTGTGAGATTATTCTTCAATTATCCCTCCTATCGTTTTAGCTCTTTTTACATCTATTAATAAAAAAGTACAAGGTGTCATATAATAAATTGCCCTATATTTAATTTATAAGATATTTCTTGAGAATTTAGCATTATTAAAAAAAAAAGTAGTCCTTAAATAGTTGGAACTTGGAAACCTAATTATAATCGATAAAAAAACAAATTATTGCTAAAACGACAGTACTTATTTTTAGACGGATAATATAGTTAACTAATTTGTTGGATCTTGATGAGTTCCAATCAGTCTCCACCGGCCTTAGTTTAACTGGTAATGTAGTCATTAATCAAGATGATGGGCACATGATGGCAATGACTCTGACTATAGTGAACTGAGGTCCCCATTAATCAAATTTAGAAACCTTCTAATTTAGGGACCCCAATAGTGGGACAAAAAAGATAAAAGAGGTATTGTGTGTTTTTGGAACATAAATATTATTTGCTTGTGTTTAATTTAATATATAAGTTATGATACTGTAACTTTTATTTTTTAATAAAAGGTATATTCACGAAATAATATATAAATATGTCATTTAACTTGATCTCAACTGATATTTAAAATCTTTAACTTTTAAATATATACCAGTAGACACTTGTATACACTTGAATAAACAGACACATACATTTTACGTAATGTCTAGCAGTTACCTTGCATCACAGGTAAAATTGTGTGATTTTGAGGATTTGGTACACATGAATTAGACAGTTCTAACAACTTATTCACCACGTCAATTTGAGATAAGTGTCAGCATGTTTCAACTAGTACATTAATTTCATGCCTGTCTATTTTACTGTCAATTTATTGTTGTACCAAAGATTCTTTATATGAATGCCCATGACTTCAACAATTCACCTTCATCATTTTTGTATCTTGTGTTCCAATTAATAAGATAATATTATTAAATCTATATTAATGGTGTAAAATTTATTCATATTATTAATACATTTTAATTTGTGGCAAGAGATTAATTATCTGCCTTTTTCAAAGTATAAATCTGGATTGTCATGGACAGTTACTTATGTTAACAGAAGAAGAAAAGAGATTGATGTATGTTTGTTGGCTTTAAACTTTGATAACAAATTTATAAAAAAAATTAGTAAATCCGGAATTGTCATCAAAATTTATTTAAACACTTCAAGGGGTCGTTTGGTAACTGGATAGAGTTATATATCTATAAATAATGTGGGTATTAGTTATGCAGGTATTAGTAATATGGGTATTAGTTATACAAATATTAGTAATGTGGGTATTAGCTATGCTAGTATTAACTATGCATGTATTAGTTATACAAGTATTAACTATGCATGGTTTAGTTATGCATAAATTATTCATTTGAGTGTTGTTTTATATATTAAAAATTAATAAAATTATCTATTTTTTAAATTATAACATTTTTTTACAATTATAGCCTTTCCTTCTTTAACTTTGTATTTAAATTAAAACATTTCTTTAATTATGTAGAAGAAGAAAGCAGTCAAGTGCGAGTGATAAGGGTAATATTGTCATTTTAACTTTTTATCCATGTATTAGCTATACACGTATTAATTATTCCACCTTCTACTCCGCATAAATAATACACAAATTTCCTCATAACTTATACATGTATTAGTTATACAAATTCCAAAATTGTCAACCGAACGTCGTATTAATTTTATACATAAATAACTTTTTTTCTTATCCACCTACCAAACACCGTATTAATTATATACATGAATAACTTTTTTCTTATCCACCTACCAAACATCGTATTAATTATATACATAAATAACTTTTTTCTTATCCACCTACCAAACGTCGTATAAGTTATACGGACTCTAGTACATTGATAAAAACTTGTTTTATCCATCTACCAAATGACCCAAACATACAACAAAGTGTTCAAATTAAATATTTTTGGTTCCAATCATACGATATTCATCTCAATAAGTGTAAAACTCCGAACATTAGAAGCGAAAGTTTCTAATTGAAACAATTTGTGTTATGTGTTCAAATGCTCAATTGAAACAAACAATAATTCGAGTGTCTAAATAAAATACTGATAAGTTTATGCGACTCACTATGTATTAAAATTTAAACCTAATATTTCTTATGATATATATGTTTTCGTCTTTTGTATGAAGAAAATTGTGGATCTGGTTATCAAGATTCTGTTTCTTGATTTCTTACCACAAGAGTACTACTCCATGCATGGCCCATTATGCTTATAGCTGTTTCCAGATTTATTATTATTTTTAAAAAAAAAAAAATTAACATACAAATTAAAATTACCCTATGAATAAATTTTGAGGCCATTTTTAAAATCTGTTACCATCCACTAGTGGATCAAGTGGAGGAGAACAATGGTTCAGATTTTCTCATCAAGCAAACATAAGTTGAAAGAGACAAAATAAAGGACCACACACACAAAAAAAAGTTTTTAAAATTCTTATAACTGAAATAATTGAAATATAGAGACAAAAATGTCATAAATAACACTAATAGCAAGTCTTCTTCATTCACATATTAGAAATAGGTCCCATAAGAATCCTAAATTTAGACATTTAACCAATGAGAATACAGTGTTCAAGATGGATTTTAGAAATTCAACCAATCAACAATTAGATGTGCCAATTTATGGGACCCAAAACAGCTTAATCTTATTTTCTTCTTCAAGGAAAATATTAGCCAAAAGTGCATGGGCTCAACAAGTCGAAACAATAAACTGTTATATCATAAGAAGTTGTTGTGGGAACATAAAAATGAACAATTATTGTACTAACGGTCCTTCATATATATTGAACTGTTCCACTTTGTTTTTTGGGGCTTGTTCAAATTCACTCTAATTAAATCCTCCGTAGCGTTTACCAATTTCACTATACGCTCCTTTATTTTTGAAATTAGGATCTCGTTCTGATATTATACTAGGACGATTGTAAATGATGACTAGTGGAAGCAAGATGGCAAATGCTATTGGAGGAAAAACAGCTAGAGCTTGCGATAGCTGTTTGTCAAAGAGGGCTCGTTGGTTTTGCCCAGCTGATGATGCCTTTCTTTGTCAATCGTGCGATGTTTCGATCCATTCGGCGAACCAATTGGCGAGTCGCCATGAACGTGTTCGTCTCGAAACATGTTCTAACAAATCTACCATTACCAAATTAGTCGACAAAACTCATCAACCTGCTTGGCACCAGGGGTTTACTCGAAAGGCAAGAACGCCGAGAAATGGAAAAAAGGCACAAATCAGGCAATGGAAAAAGAACGAGGAAAATCAGGTCCCGGAAATTGGCAGTGATGAAAATGAATGCGAAAACGAAGATCAGCTGCTTTATCGAGTTCCGATTTTCGATCCGTTTGAAGCAGAACTCTGCAATGTGCCAGATGAAACTGGATCTATTGCTGATTTGGACATTTTGTTGAACACTGAAGATGCATGCGATGATTTGAACCTTCCTGAATTTCTTTCATCTGATATTGAGCTTGCTGAATTCGCTGCCGATGTTGAAACCTTGTTGGGAGGCGAAGAAGAACAGAGTACTCGGTTATTAAATGCCGATTTTGAAGATAACAAGGCGATTAAAATTGAAGTTGAAGACGAAGAAATGAGAGCTGTTGTTGCTTGTCATTTGGATCCTGAATTGGACATGGAAAGGGAAGGACTGAATTGGAACTTTGATGAATATTATGAAGAAAGAGTTGAGCAGAAAGTAATAGCAGCAGTAACAGAATTTGTCGCTAGTGCAGAGTACAGTGGTAGCAGTACTAAATCTGATGAAAAAAACAGGCTGTTTCTCAGGCTTAATCATGAGGCGGTTATTAGTGCTTGGCCAAATCAATCTTCGCCATGGACAAATGGAATCCGACCCCATTTCAATCCTGATGACTACTGGCCCGATTTCTCGGTATTTTATTCTTCTTCCTCCACAATCATTGTTCGTGTTGTTGTATAACTAGTTATATAATAAAAGCAAAACAAAATTAGTGAGATATAAAACTTCAGAATATATAGAGGCATTTTTTTTGTTGATTTATCATTGATATTTTTGTATATCTGTTGATTCAGGAAACATGTGGAGGTAATTTAGGATATTATGTAAGAAGTGGCGATGGAGGAAGAGAAGCGAGGGTATCGCGTTACAGAGAGAAGAGAAGGACAAGATTGTTTTCCAAGAAAATTCGATATGAAGTTAGGAAATTGAATGCAGAAAAAAGGCCTCGGCTGAAAGGACGATTCATTAAAAGGAACTCATCGTCCTCCTTTTCAGTGCCTAGTTTTCCTTACATGATGAATAAACGATGATGAATTGATCTTGTAGTTGATAGAGTTTGCATTATAACATCACCATTTTGCTTACACTAGCAATCTGGAATGACTTAGGTTCTTTTTATCATAACCTATGTTTTTATTCAATCAATAAAATAATTAATTCAGCTTAATTTGGTTACATATATAATCTTAAGCAAATATATTTATTTTCCTCCCAATAAAGTATGCAATATCATTTTTACTTCAACGAATAAACTTGAAAATAAAAAAGGATATCTCAATCTGCAGCCACTTAATTAAATTTAAAAAGTTCATGCTACCTAACACTCGTTGTTAGAGAAAGAGCTTATTAATATACCCTAATTACAATACAAAATCACCCAGCTAGTGCATGCATAATCAAATTGATAACAGATTGTATCAAGTCAAACTACATCACATAAATTGAGATGAAGAGAGTACAAAATTCGTTGGAGAAAATAAGAGTTCATGATCTTTAAAGACGGTATATATACACGTGTCAAGTTAAAATTAATTTTGTGATTGAGGTTGATTAATTTATATATATATAAAATGGGATGCATGTGGGAACTCGGAATAGACGGTAAACCCAAATTGAGAGTGACACAAATTGGATCCATCGTTCTTTCTAATTTAGTCAGTTAAGACATGGGACACCCACCCCAATAAAACGTCCAATAATATCTCGTTTGCATTATTAATCATTAGACTAAACTTTTGGTGCAAAATGCACCCCTCCTAAAATTTCACGATCTAAATAAAATGTCTTAGCACATATAATTATATATATTCCCATGAATTAGTAATTAGTACCACATTTTATTACGCTATTTTTTCCTGCAATTCTGATAGTTGATCCATTAATTGACTTCATATATGGAAATTACTTTGATTAAGATCTCAACATGTCATAATTTTGTTTTTCCTGTATTGGAAGCAAATAAGGCACTGTATGACCCAGTCAAATATATATGCTCCTTGTATTTAATTGGTCAATATATCCTATTAAATTAAGAAACCAAAAATAAGTAGAAATCGACTTTCATATACTAGAGAATTTTCGTCCTATTATATAATCGATCAAAGCAACAATTTTAAAAAATAAAAATAAAACTCGTATCAAGAGCACCAAGTGCAAAGGTTGGACCCATGCCCATGGACAATACAAAAAAATTATAATATTGTTGTGTCTGACCATGTGCACTAACAAGTAACAAGTTGTATTTGTTGCATATTAAAAAAACATAATACGCAGCAAAGATATTTGCAAGATAACTTGATAATATCTCTTTCTTTAGAGGGAAATTTATTAAAAATCTCACTAGCTCGTCACTTTCTTATGTGTCTGATACCATGGATACATTCAACCACATGAGATACATATAAATGTGTGATTCACATGTATCTGAGATACAGAGCTATTTCAATTCTCATTTCGCTCATCTCTCTCCCAATTATAGTGTATCCGGTAAAAAAAAAATACATGTATCTAGGTATATTTTCCTCAATATATAATAGGAAAGTCTTAACTAACGGTAAGATATGTAATTAGTTAAAGAAAAATTACTTAAATACACAACTTATTTTACCATTTTCTCTAAAATTCCTTATCATATGAAAAAATTACAAAAAATCTTACTCTCTCCTATTCTCAGATACATCACTTTACACGATGTATTGGTCAGATACATCATTTTATGTGATGTACCAGGACGTACACAATGTATCGGGACATTGAGTAATGTATTCAAAACCTAGACGTGATGTATCGGAACGTGGAGGGATGTAGCCAAGACCGAGATGGGATGTATCGCGACATTTTGGGATGTATCCGAATTCCACTAAATTTAAGGATTTTTTGTAATTTGGAAAAGAGTATGAATAAAATGTAATTATCTCTTAATACTATAAAATTTGTGTAAAATTTCCTTATTTAAAAGTATAAATAAAACAAAAATTAGTATATATGATATGGATGTACGTCTAATAAGATAGTTTATCCTCTTTGAAACTCTACACTTCTCATTCTCGTGGGCCTTGGCCCATTTATCATGTCGGATCATTGAACTTTATTTAAGGGATAAACGAAACAGTAAAGTTGCAAAATATTTCTTGACACATTAAATAATTAAATTGTGTATAAACCAAACTGTGTATATTCCTCTTCATACATAAAATATCAAGATCTAAAAGAAGGGATGATATGATAAATGCTAAATTATGATCATAATTTAAGAAAATTTTCAGTATCTCTTTTCTCTGTGAGGGCTATATATGTCTCTTGAAATGAAATCCGACGAGCGAAAAGAAACAAAACTGAACCATACATAGTACATGCCTGTGCCTGTGAAGCAAAGTTTGTTTATTACTTTTTTTTTTAAAAAGGCTTAATGCATAGTCATCCTCTTAAATTTATCATGATTTTCTATTAAGGTTGGTTTCAATTGAAAATCTCAAACTCTAATTAAGTTTTTTATTTAGACACTTTCATTCAAATTTTGAAACAAATAATTGTGTGTGATTCATCCGTCTATTAAATAGTTAAGTTAATTATTCACAATATGTTATTTTCTTTAATTATACACATCAAACTCAAACAGAAAATGTTGGGGGTTTACGTCTTATTGAAATGAATGCATATAATTAAAAAAAATGACATATTTTATATAGTTGATATACCTATCTAATAGACGAATGAGGGGTTTGCTCAGGTAAGTGTAAATATGTGACACTCTTGTCTTACTCGACCTCAAAAGTTAACTTATATTATGAGTGAAAGATTATCCAAGTCCATATAAACAGATCGTCATTCCATTTTGCGAATCAATGTCGAATCTAACCCACTCTTACATCCCTTTACACCAAGGCCCAATTGGAGCCCAAACGGGGATGGATCTGCCTCTGATACCATGTAAATATATCACATTTAGAACTAACTCAACCCCGAAAACTAGCTAATGAGGGAGGATTATCCAAGTCTATATAAGTAAACAGTCAGTCCATTCCCCAACCAATGTCGAACTTTAACCCACACTAACAGTAAACATCCTTCAACTCCAACTTTAAGGTTGTGAGGCGAGTCATCAAGTGAACGAAAAGGAGAGACCTCCTAAAGAGGGTAGAAAAAAATAATAGTCAAATGGAGAACACACTAATTTTTCTTTCAAAATTGAACTAAAGAGTGTAATTAGAACAATTTATTAAAATTTGAGATGTTCAACTAAAACATGACTTAGTTCAATATCTAAATAAAATATCCCGATAAATTTTAGAAAGTATACCATGCCTTAAAGTATAAAGGGAGAGAAGAAGTAAATCCAAAAATAAGGTCATGTCACAATCTCAGGAATAGGGGAATCCTAAAAGGTTAGAAGGAAGACAAATACAAAAGATTCAAAACATTTCTTACAAACAAGGGAAGGACGATTTAATTAGTCACGGAGGGACCAAACAAAATACTAACGACCTCGGATTGTTGTCTCATTCTTTTAATTCATCATTTCGACAACACTTTGACGTTAAAAGTTAGCGATTTATCAATAAGTAATGTTGCATCGTAATCATAATGCAATTAAGATACTAATAAAAAAAAAGACAATCGTCATTGTTGGATGAAGATTGTTGAGATAATTACCCAATTCCATATATAAGGAGATTATAAGGTACGCAGAAAATCAAATCTTCGCCCATAAAAGTTATATTTAAAATATCATTAAGATAATTTGAGATTTAATTAACAACACTATGTAATATTGACTTGTAGATTTCTTTAAAATTTTAATTAATTTAATCATGGAAAATACATTCTAGAAAAAGTGCATCGGCCCATCCCAACTCATGACGTATATATGTATCATTTGTTAAACATCAGTGTATATATATACCGTTATATAATGAATGATATATTTATTCTAAAAGTACAAAATTGAAAGGTATATTTATACATTTTTTTCCATTTTTGATATATATATATTCACTTCATTTAACAAATGATGCATATTTATTATTATCGTTATTGATGTGAACATGTATGCTCCCTCATTGTAAACATGTTCATCAAGAAATTAAAAAAAAAAAAAAAAAACTAAATGATGCACGCGTAGCTCCATTCAAGCATTATTACAAGAGCAATTTTAGTACGGCTAGATTTAGTCAAAGATTTTATTTTTTTATGAGATACAAGTAATGTTACTAATGTACTACACCAGCTTTTATTTCCCATGTAGAGTCATATCAAGTGACAAAAGCAAACGACAAAGAGAAGCTTGATCACGTCACATAAGTTAGTTTGATTTGATACGAAATTTAAGGGAAAAAAAAAACTTTTGAAACTTAGGATTTAAAATAAGTAGTATGTATTTGTATGACGACTATAAATCATTTCATTAAAGATAAATTGAGTATTTTAAAGTTAAATTGTTACTTAATAAAGAAACAACAAAGGGTCAAATATACTCATGTACTATTAGAAATAATTTAAATATACCCTCGTTATACTTTATGTCTAAATATACCCTTCCAGTTATGCTTTAGATCCATATATACCCTCCAATTATACGAGGGGTACATTTAAACTAATTGTAAATATGGGTATATTTGATCATTTACTGATAAATAAATGTGTCATTTATTTTTCGGACTGATTAAAAATGAAATTAAGTCGTAAATGAATTGAGCATCAGCTTCTTCAGTCAAAGTATCCATTAGGCAATAGACAGAGGCTTGTCTGCATGAATCATGATTCCCAAACTTCAAAAAATGATTAGAAGTGGCATAGCTATGTTGCCTATTGTTATAGGTTACTAGGTAGCTCAAAGATTCCATACCTACCTACCCTACAATCTTATCTAAGTCCAACTTCATGTATAAATAGCTGATGGGAGGGAAGCTTCAAGTTCCACATACACACACTAAAAAGAAAGAAAAAAGAGTGAAATGTTGCTCAACTAGTAAGTTTTTTTATTATTATTTTCCATCCGATTTCCGAAGCCCACATTCTCAACTAGTAAGTTAAGAATGTGTAGATATAAGTAGGAGCTCCTTTCAGGCCAAGACCGAGGGACGAGGAGCGGCAAGAGCTGCCTAGTCATGCATATTGGTTAACCTTAACAAACTAATATATATAGTGTTAAGATTAACTAGTTGCATGTCATGGGAGCAACTACTTCCGCTAACTTGTCTCACTTATTGGACTGAAGGGAGCTCCTACTAAATTTCACATATCATACAATTCATTCGTAGTTAAATTAACTATATAAAATATGTTGATTTTAACCTTAGCTTGTTCTAGCTAGTCTAGCAGTACTAACATTTTGATAATAGTAAGTAAGAATTTTATGCTCTAGTAGTTAGGCAACTTTTCAATCGACTTCTCCATGGCACTCAATTTTTTGATAAAAGGTAATCTATTTCTTTATTTATATACCGTTGTATAATTGCAGTATCTATATATATACAAAAAAAAAAAACAGTATATATTATACATATATGTATCAATCGTACTCTTGTTAATTAAACATGAAATAAATATCTCTAATCATTTTGGTGGCAGAGGTTGAAAGAGATACATCAGCAAGGCGTCCAGGAACTCAATTGAGATGAGAAATACAATGTATATGGAGTATATACATTCTAAGACAATTTGTTAGGACTTACTCTTTTGTATACAACATGTTGTGCTTTTGTTGTAGACATAAAAGGCTATATTTAGTTGGACTCAACCCATTTGTTTTTGTGTTGGTTGTGTATGTAATTAAGATGATTTTGGGCCTAATCAGTTTCATATTTTGGATGGATTCACACATACAAATGCATATAAAAAAGCCCAACTCAGTGAGTAACATACATGTTGAGTGCTCAATGAGTAATTATGATCATATAATTATCCACTTGAACCTAGCTAGCTTGGACGGACCTATAATAGAACTTGATTTCTTATATTATTATATGTGTATTATCTCATAACAACAATGTATTCCTTACCGGATGAATTATTGGTAACATTGAACCTACACATTTGACTTGGACAAATTATGCTGAATCCGATGGCAATATACAAAATTTTAATTAGACCTAATGAGAAATCAGTCAATATAGGCTTGTTTGGTCATGAGAATTTTTCAATTTTTTTTATCAAACGCCCACTTAAAATAGTCTTTGATTAGTCGATTGCCTAGCTAGGTACAATCATGATGTAATACTATTACAATTTGCATTGGTAAAAAAAATCTATTAACCAACTAATCCAAAAGCGGTTTTTCATAAAAGAAGAGAGAACAAATTACCTTTACCAACTCAAAATAAACAAACATAGATAATGTCAAAATATTTGTGATGATAACATGACAAAAAGTATTGTTTCTTTTGTACGTTATAAAAGGTGAATAAACCAGAAACTTCGATGAAACAAATAAATTAATTGATCAGAAATTTTTTATTGTAAGGGGATATAATTTAAATCTTATAAGCCAACTACCAAGTAAATGAAAGGTAGCTATTCGTAACACACCAAACATATTCTAGTTTTTCTTAAAATATTTAGAAACAGCCAAACATATTATGAATTTGACCATAAGTTAACTTCTCAATGGAGTATAATTTCAACTAAACAGAACATAGCTTCACATCACAACTGGTACTAAAGTTTATTCAAAAATAATTATTACTGTATTTGAATACAAGTTCATCCATTTTTCAATAAAAACGTATATCCGAAGAATATAAGTCAACCAAAACATAGCCTTACAATATGCAGATTCAAATTTATACTCTTTAGGAGTTGTTTGACGTGAGGCATAAGATATAATAATTTCAAGAATAAAATACAAAATCATTTTATCCATATTTGATTGGAGATATTAAATTTCATTAAATATCTTGTTCCGTTATTTATATATTAGTGATGTGATAAATACATGATAAAATAACTTATCGCAGAAAAATCTATCTCAAAATAACTTGTACCCCACCCACGAAAAATAAATAGTTTCGAGATAAGGAAGGGCAAATGTAACTTAGATTTGTATAATCATATCTCTATATCTAACATTCACATTCCACATGGACTTCTTTTACCGCAAAAAGAATTACTAAAAGAAATACAAATCTACTTAGGAATAGACTCTAATAATATAAATAAAAAAAACCACCTTCCAAAAACTAGGGGCTCTCACAGGATTATCTTAAATTTAAACCCGTCAAAATAAGCTCCAACAGTTCTATTATACACGTGGCCTCATCCAGGCCGTTCATTCGTTCATCAGCTTCTCGACAACGGTAGCAACCCCAGCGTTAGTTCCAAGCCAACATCGCTCGAAGCTGGAAAGGCTTCAACAGTCTCCACCGAGCCGCTATCCACATCACCACTTTCTCCTTCCCGGCTCGGTTCTTCCGTCCGCTGTTGGCTCAGACCCGAATTAAGGCTCGGGGACCCGACAGCCTCTTCCTCCTCCTTATGACACCAACTCCACATCACCCTAGCCGCATCGTCAACATCCGGCGACTGCTTCCTCGGCTCCGGCTTAGCCGATACCCGCTTAAACCGGGTTCTCGACTTAACTTTGTGCAGATCGGGATCCGAGTTATTTTCTCTAGACACGTGGCGAATATCACATGCTTTAAGCGAAGGGCTCGTTGCATCTGCAGCCGAGTCGACTGAAAGTTTAACAATCGGCGCACCGTTTAGAACGGCTTCAACAGCAGCTTGACAGAGAGGCCAGTTGCCGGAAGTTAACAAACCAGTAGAACCGTAAATTGGATTTACGATACGCCCACAAGCTTCATACAACAACGATCTGAAAATAGCTGCAATCAACAGAATCAAAATTAATCATCATCACATCTAATTAGTACATTTTAGCTACTTATAAAATTTAACTAACCAGGACGCAAATGGTCAGGTCCAGAATTGATGAGATTGAGAAGCCCAGCACGGCCATAAAACTTAGCGAGGAAAAGAGTGGCGTTAGATTGAGCTTCTGGAGATTGTATCCATTGAAGACAAGGTTTAATGGAGCATTTTTCATTGCAACCTTTCCGGAGAACCCGGCAACCATTACAGCTTAAACGCATAGTAGCTTAATAGAGAAGAAAGATCAATTTTGTGAGAGAAATGTTTATGGAGTTGAGAAGGAGAAAGAGTTAATATATATTGTTGAAGAAGGAATTGATTTTCCATGTGAGGGGGGGGGATTGGAAGTTATAAGGGGCGCCCGCAAGTGGTTTTAGAACAGTGGTATCCTGGGAATATTTCAAATCATTTAGCTGTTTCAAGTATTTCGGAAAAGCTTATTCACCTACTTTTCAAATATATATTACTCATATTTTAATTTTTAATTGACATTTTATGCATACGACGATACTTGTGAGCTGCTTCTTGTTAAAAATAAATTTGCAAAAACCACGTGTAAGTTGCTTACAAAGTTAGATGTAAGTTCTTAATAGAAATTTCAAATTTACTTACAAAGTTATTTCTTGAAAATCAATTTACTAAACTATTTATAAATTATGAAAGTAATAAATAAATATTCCTAATTACATGTATTCAAAGAACTCTCTATTCTTTTCATTGTCTTGTGAGTTTTGGATGCTTATATGTTATTTTCTTTATGAATGATCCATAAATAGGGTTGTATTTTTCTTAACTTGTAATGGTGTTACCCATTTCCCAAACATCTAATATACCTCCTCTTTAAGAAAGGGATCTTCTTACATCTCGTGTATAATCCGTGACGGAGCTAGGTAGGGTTTGTGGTTTCGAACGAATTCAATAATTTTTTTGTAGATTTTATATTTGTATTAGAAAATTAAATACATATATATATGTAGTTTACTTTGTAAATCTCCTAACAAAATTGATTTAACGGCTCAATGATTTAAAAATATTTCTCTTATGTCCTAAAATTTTGGAACCTCCAATTTTTAATCCGGACTCTGACTCTGTCTATAATTATAAAGTACATAATCTTCTGCTTCATTTTATTAATATTGTAAAAATAATATCAACACAGCAATAATTAATTATTATATTTTAATTGTTGTTCCATTACCAAATTTTACTATACAATTTTTCAGCACTCAGTCCAGTGTATTACAAAACGAATATTGAGGGTTAAGTTTGGTCATTTGGAAGTTCACGGCAAACAAAATTCATGGAAAATGAGAAGGCGGATAATGACATGCAAATTGGTCCAAAACCAGGGATTGTAGCATAGTGACACGTGTAAAGCCTGTCGAATGGGCCCACAACTCATGGCGGCTCGCCACATACTTCTTCTACTGCATATCCATTCACGCACTCTATACTATTATAATTTATTTTTTTACGTTATATAGTTTGTTAAATATAGAATTTGAACAATATAAAAAAAGTAATAAATTTGTGAGGCCAAGGTAACAATAATTGTATCTTTTTACATTTCCTATCATATATTTTGCGTGCAAGCAAACAAGGGAATGAGAATTAAACTTTTTATTTCTTGTTTCTTCTTTCACAATAATTATATCACAAATACTCAAATCATTTTTAATCGATATGTTCACTTATGTTATGGTCATTTGTCAATATAATAACTAGTTATTTCGAAGGCTTCCCTGACTATTTTTCTTTTTAATGTTAGTATTGGGTGTCAACTTACACATTTGTTATGAACTCATTTAAATTCAATTTTAATTACGTAATTTGTTACTTTTGATTGAATTGTGAAGTTTCAAGCAACATAGATAGTTTTATGATTAAAAGTTCATATGAATTTGAAACAAAATCCAATTTGAGAGTAGATAGAGGAAATAGTAGAGTATCTTCAATTAATTACAATGGTTGTATTGATCGAAATATTAATTTGATTTTTGGATTTATTCAAAGATGACACATTACAGTTATAATCTAATTATGTTCAGCCCAATAGAAATAATAATGAGCAAATCAGCATGGCTCGAGAATAATGTGATCAAGAATGTTTCAATGATTGATAACGATAAGTTTTGTGGGTATTAAATTATAATTAATTTTGAACACACTTAGAGGGGGGCAACATTATATATTTATTTTTAGGATGCAATTAATTTTAGGTGTTTGGTTCTAGAGATTAAGGATAAAACAAAAGTTTGAAAACACAAAAGGAAAATGCAACAAAACTAATATACATTATTACTGAAGTATGTCTAACAAAATACCTCACTTTTGATCACTCTAGAATGCATTTATTAAGATGTAGACATTCCACATATCAAAACCAAGAAAAAAAACACCAAAAATATATAAATAGAACTGTTGTGTATTGCATTTTACATATCAAAACAAAATAACATAAAAGAAAAGTTAATAATAAATTGTCTATATAAATAATCAAGTTTTGATTGGTATTGATGGAGTATTACATAAATTATAATTTAAAATCTAAATAAGTATAATTTTAATTTTTTTACTATAATTAAATTAATAATTTCTGTATTTCTACATTAAAATATATTTTTATATAGTTATTATTTTCTATTATTTTTACTTATATCATTAGCTTATATTTTTAAAATTAAGGGAAAAAATATGAGCAAACTTATACTACTTAATTAGTCATTATAGTTATTGTTTGCTATAATTATCACTTGCGACTAACATTAACCATTAATTACGTGGGTTGACTTTGAGTTTGTATAATTAGTCACGTTTGTATAAATCACCACATTTGTGTAATTCACAACTAATAATTCTGTATTTGTATCTGATAATGATTTTCTTTGATTTTTTAGTTTTATCACCATACACATTCAATCTTTACCCTCGCTCGTTCACCTCTCTCCTTTCTCTTCCAATCTCGCTCGCCACTCTTCTCCTCCCTATAATATATAGCTATAAATTATAATTAAATTATTTTTGAGTAGCAATATGCGTAAGTTCCTCTTTAATTAATATGTTATCATTGTTCAAAATGGAGGAGCGAAAACGAGTATCACCTAAAAAGTGAAAGAAGAAGCTAAAGAAAAGAAGAAGAGGCGCGTGGGGAAGGTAAAGTGAAAAAGAAAAGTGGGACCCACGGAAAAAAAGCATTCCCGGTTTAGTGGAATACCGTACGCGGGGGACTATGGGCGCCCTTAGAACTGCTATTCTGGTTTTCCTCATAGACTACTTCTTATCCTATTTTCCTGGAAATGACCCCACCACTATTTTCATACTCATTTCCTTTTTTTATTATCTTTAAGTATTTCTTATTAATCATATTCATATTCTTTCATATCTCAAAAGTTGAGTGACCTTTTATTCGTTCATAATATTTTTTCTTGTATCAATTCTTATTTTAAGATATTAACTTCATATTATATGAACATGATATGATTTAATTTATATTAAGTTTTAAAAAAATAAAAAAATTTAAACTAATTCAAACGGGCTCTATTTAGAAAGCAGCTGACACATAAAATCAGATTCGTATCTGTACTTTTTTTTTTTTGGTGAAAGAAATTGTCTTTGGGTTGAAAAATGATGTAAACTGACCCTAAAAAAATATTCATAGACTATTAATGACATCCAAAGGTTGCTTATACCATTTCAATACCTTCAAAAGTGAGGTCTTCAATCTACAGCTAAAATGTACTCCTATAAACTATTTTTTTTTTTATTGATTTCATTTCTTGTCATCACAACTGTTCTTTGGTCTACATTAAAATGTACTAATAAGAAATTCTGACAAGTTTCCTGTTCTTTTTTCTCCTCCACAAGCATAATTTAATAATAACTCATGTGTGACATTTTTTAGGAGTGTTAATACAATGTATACTGAACAACTTGTTGAATAGAAATATGAAAAAATAACGACGATTGAATGGACTCGTGCTAAATGTTATAAACAAAGGTCTGGTGAAATTTAAACTACTTTATCACTAGTTGATTTTATTTTTTTAAAACGAAAGCAGACGCACCACAAAGTGTGGAAGAAAAGGCCAACCTTCTTGTATTAATTAACAAGAAAATATATACAAAGTCAAATAGTTCACATTAATCCTAACAAATATGAAAAACTAAATAATATTTAACAATTGTATTTACTCATTTAGCAGTAAAAAGCGCACGTACTAACATTTCAAATTTTACGCTAACTGAATTTATTTATTTATTTAATAAACTGAAATTGTTTGAAAAATCATTAGAGTTTGGTCACCTAATTGTATGATTACAGATTTCATTTTCGATTTTCTATTAGAAGCCCAATGAATCAGCCCTTAGCACTCCTGTATAAAAGTGTGCAAGCCCGATTGAATTGGCCCAAGTAATTAGCCCATACAAGTGTTGTGTAAAACAGTAAAAGCAAATTTAGACTAATACTATACGATTTAGGCTACATGACTTGTAACTTACTAGATTTACTTATAAAAGGCCAAATAGAAAGAAAAAAAAAATATGCAGAGTCAAAGAGTTGTAGATTTCAAAAGTGATACGAGGGAGTTACTCGGATGGCAAAGCTTCCTCGGGAGGGAAAAAATTATCTGTGGTGAATGTCCTGGAATTCCACAAGTAAAATTCGAAATTTTTTAAAAATAGAATCATAATGGACGCTATTTCGTGGAAAATGAAGGCCCACTCCAGATGCTCAAAGAATTTAGCCCGCAAAATGACCAGGAAAAAGCAAAATTAGTACTGTTCTGGGATTTTATAGACAATTCTTTATAGCTGTCTTGCAAGTGTATGCATAATTCTTTTTCTATTTGTAGCCAATAATTCAATGATCACACCCTGTATTGGTATAAATGCTTCACCTTTTCCACATCAAGTTTTGTAGGTTCAACAGTTTCCCCTAGTAAAGTAGCCAAGTGCAACATTTATGTTATAGATTGAACAGGGAAGTCGATCCAAAAGACTAGTCTAATAGGTGCAAGTGACTTATAATCCATTACCAGTACTCTTTGTAACAAATTAGAGGCACGATTGACACATAAAACTGTCGATGCACAGCCAGTTTCGAAATATATATAGCAAATAGAAGACGAATTATTGAACCAAATAATTGTAGATGCCGTCTTCCATATTTGACAGCACAAAAGGCTTTGATGCTTGCCACCATTTTGAGTAATATCTTTTTTTTTAAAAGGTTGAGAATAATTAGAAGAAAAAAAAAGGAGTGGGAGAGGGTAATTTGGTGGTTGGTTATGTAGCTGTCATTAAGAAAGACGAGAAGAGTAAAAGGTAAAAACAACATGAAACCCGCATAATCCAGCAAAACATACTTGTGAAACACCTCACTTATAAGATCACACTGGGTATAAGATCTCGGTGCAGGTAAGTTCTGAAAACACCTCACTTATGAAATTACACTGGATATGTTGATACAATGTGTGATTCTAAATTGGCAAGGATATTATCATTAGTGAACAGTGGCGACTCATGGTCGGCACACGGCATTCTTCACAGTTTGTTATCTGCACGATAGTTCGAAAAAGACACTTCTTGGAAAGTGCATGGGCCACCAATATGCCATTCTTTTATTGTGTGTGTTTGTCTTAGCAAAGTGGTACCCAACACATGACCAAAAGCCAGCCTAGCCTCTACACAAAACTAGTCAGCAATCAATAAAATGACTCTTCCATCCCTAAAATATAACAATCTGCAAAACACAAATACCCCACACCACCTATTCTCCCTTAATCTTAGGTGAGGGTCCATCTTTCACATGAAAATTCAATATTTTTCCTCAACCAACTTGCCATCTTCAACAATTCTTTATACCAAACAAATCTAATTAGTTAAGTACAAAATCCTCAAGCTGAATCACATAGTTAGTGGCGATAATAACGCTATTAAATGGACTTTTCATATGACTAAACATTAATGCTATAAAATTGATGATCAAAGATTGACAAAGAAATTAGCATTGCTATAAAGAATTAGACCATCTTCATTTCTCCTTCGGATTACAATTACAATAAAGGATAAGAGTGACAAACTTTACCGTCACAAAAGAAGAAGTCTTTCTTTTAGACTCTCTCACACTACAGTAGATACTCAATACAAACTTTAGCCTAATGCTAAATAAGAACCCTAATTAATCCCAAACGAAAGAGAACAATCTTTTGATTTATCGCTTCTCTTTGGGTTGTACTAAAAGTATTTATTTTCCGATATCAAACGAACACTCATTCATCACCTAATAAACATATTCACAAACAGGAGTTGAATGATGACTCTCTTTTTTTCACTCTATATATACAAGACTAAAACGAATTCGTTATGGTAACTCACCTCATCCCAAAAATCTCACATTTTTATTGTTTTTGGTTGGTTTCTGGTTTTACCTAAGCGAAAGCAGAGATGCTGCTGCGGCAATTGAAGCCTTCAATCCTCACAGTAGCTGGCTTGATCCCGAATTTCACCGGAGCACAGCCTCCTCCACTCTTACGAGTGGAAGCGGAAGGTTGTGGTGGAGAAGGTGCAGCAGCTGCTGCTTCTGGAATTGCTAGTATAGGAACAAAATTGTTGTTGCTGAATTGTGAATCCTGAATCAGGGGATTCGATGCCCTACTGGGTGGAGATCCGAAAAAAAACGGTGGAGATGAAGCCATATCAAAATTGGGCGTTTCCATATCAAAATTCCCCTGTTTACCAAAATAATAAAAAATCATCAGCATAATTGATATCAATTTCAATCAGTTCACATCACAAACTACATCATTTGCAGATGAATCGAAAACACATAAATTTTACCTTGCTGAGGATGATATCCAGAAGTTCAGTTCCGGCTTTCAAATCGCAACCCTCCGATTGCTGATTACTGCAACAGAAACACCATAACTAATTAACAAAAGGGGGAAAAACGGAGAAATTAAAACAGCAATCAAAAAAAGTTATATGAACCTACTTGATTTGGAGGAATCGAGAAGGTCTGATCGGTTCATTGAAAAGCCCATTCCGGCGAGGTTTGGGGTAAACAAGACCATCAGAAACAGAAATATCTCCCCGTCTAATTTCTCCAACACCAACACAACCCATCAAGGCCTTTTGCTGATAACCACACCTATTCATTTTTTCCTTTTTCGTTTTTGCAAAACAGATCTAAAAAACTGAAGCAACAAAGAAGAATATAGTATATCAAACACTTGAGATCTCTATGATAATACCTATGAACATATAATTTTTTTATATATATGTCTGATATTACTAAATATAAACACGATGATGATAAAAGAAGAGCTGACATAAAAAGAGTATGTAATTATGGAAAAATAATAGGATTAGAAAGAGAAAAGAGAGAGAGTTACCTGTGTGGGTGGGTGGCGTCTGTGAAAGGCGAAAATGGAGGAGAGAGATTTTTGATGAGAGGAGCCAAGGGACACACCAATCACCATTCATACAAGGTGCGCGACGAAAGAGACATTAAAAATAAAAATAATGTATAAAATTTCCGTACGGTTTTAGCGTGTAGCACGTGGGATAATCACCAACATACCATAAAGATCGCGGTGAAATGATAAGTATTTTTTTTTGCATATAAGTATAGTAAACATAAGCAAATTCAGATGAATTAGACTTAAAAAAAATATCATTAATAAAAAATTTATCCCTTAAAAGTTAATAATTACAGTAATCCCTCAAATGGATACAATAATATAAGTGTTGATACATTAATCTGATGCACGAGATACACTAATCGTTAAGTAAGATACATTACATTTTATACATGATACACTAATCTAATGTACATTTTATACATGATACACTAATCTAATGTACATTTTATACATGATACACTAATCTGATGCGCGAGATACACTAATCTGATGCGAGAGATACACTAATCTTATGTGCGAAAATGAGGAATTTTGGAGATTTGTAAAACTTATAGGGAATAATGGTAATAAGTAAACTAAAAGGTAGGATTTCTGTAATTTTATTATAAATTTAGAGACAAAAATTAGCAATCACACCATGTAAAGGATAAAAATTAAAAACTATCCTATTTTAGGAAGGGTGTGTGCAAAACAGCGAAGCCCATATATTTAATTGGGCTCAACAATAGCCCAAGGGGATTTGTTTCCCTTCAGAATTAATGTCAAATAAACCTAGTTAGGTTTTGTGTTAATGTTACAAGTTTCCACAGATAGCAAGGCTGATGATGATAAACTCTTCATCATTATATTACTCAAACAGTTGAAGATAATAATCCAACAAATTTAGTAGATCCAACCTTACAATTGCCCCATCATATTCTCTATTCCATATTTTCCTACCTTAGTTTTCATTATCTTCATCATGTACGCCTTGTAAACAACAATTGCCATCGTAACATCCCATCACACTTGGCTTTACACTTTAGTGAATCCCTTTTCCATAAATAAAATCCAAAAAGTTTCGGAATTCAATAAGTTCTTCTCTTGACACTTGGAAAAATAAGTTGTTAAATGTTGAAAAAAGAGTATTGCACATTCAATTTACCTCGTCACAACGATGTCCAAGATACAATGGAAAACGATTTCCATGAGGTCTATTTAAGCATTAATGAATGTTACTACTATTTTCCAGTCGAAATGTCTTACTATTCTTCATTTAACTAATTGTGGACTTGTTAAGCATGTGTTATGTGGTGTACAAATAATTCCCTCTTTGCAAGAGCTGAATTGGAATGAGTCACCTTAAATTATCTGAAGATATAATATCCAAGTTTTTTAGGAAGTGCCCTAATATTAGAGAATTGAGTTTGGTCACATGTTGGGGGATAAACTTTAGAATAACTTTCACGTATAGAAAACATAAAAATCATATTTGTATGTTATAACTATAGTTTGTATAATTGCGCTCCATAGCAAGCATAATTATGTATATTTCGCTATACATATACAAAAGAAAGCAGTTGTATAATCTGTTTCTGTTTCGGTATACATATACAAAAGATCAATTGTATAATCTGTGTTTGTATAAAGCGAGAGAGAGAGAAAGACAAAAGAAAACTGGCCAGGGGAAGATCATATTTGTATAATCATAGGTGTATAGGACGAAAATATATGCATTTGTATTTGTATATACAATTTTCTCTCGCTTTATACAAACACAAACACAATGTATACATTTGTGTTTGTATAAAGTGAGAGAGGCAAGTGAGAGTGGTGAGCGAAATCTGGGAGATGGGAGAGAGGGGAACGAAATATATATACAATTTTCTCTCGCTTTATACAAACACAAACGCATTTTATACATTTGTGTTTGTATAAAAGTGAGAGAGGCGAGGGAGACTGCCAGCGAGAACGAGATTCACCAGGAGAGAGACGAAATAGCAACAGTTTGCTACGGGGTACAATTAAATCAAACTATGTTTATAACATTTAATTTGAATTAATAGTTTGCTATTATATACAATTTTCCCTAAACTTTATCGTATTAACTAACTTAGCTTGTTTGGAGAAGCTTTACGTGAACGTTAGTAATTTAGGTTCTTTTACAAACATACAAGTTATTGCCCCGAGGTTACAAGTCTTCCATTTCATTTTTCGGAGTCGTAAAATTACTACTAACATGGATATTGGTGCTTGTAAAATGATGCGGGAATTATTAGAAATTTCCTAATGGTATTGATACTGAAAATTTCTGTTCGGACTTTCCTCATCTTGAAACATTGTTACTTGGCCCTTGTCATACAGAGAAGCCTATTATTAAAATTTCAAGTTCTCTTATCCGTCCCGGCCACAAGTAAACCAACTTTCAAGAGAAAGTATAGTTTCTTCTCCTAATTTACCTTTTTTTCCAATATAAAGGTACAAGACTTCAACCATATTTAGCTCCTCTAAGTGATACTTCAAAGCTTTTAGAGATCAGCTATAATATTGTATTGGTTCCTAAAATTCACGAGATCATGAATAGGGGATGGTTCCTCACATTGAGTAGTCACCTTGAGAATTTTAGCAACCACAATACAACATTGGAGTTGCGCATTCGTGAAGAGGTACATTATTAACACACCTTTAATTAATCAACTATGTTAATTATACTCTTCAATTTTCATATATTGTACATATCGATGAATCATCTTCGTGTACTATGTATAAAGACAATTACATATGGATATCTTGGGATCAAGGGGCGAAGCTACGACCAAGTAAGGGGGTGGTCAGCCGCACACCATTCGTCTAAAAATTATATTGTATATATAGGTAAAATATTGTCTAATATCTGAATATATAATAAATTGACACCCTTACACATAACAAAGATTGTTAGTCTTGCGGTAAGCACGTGCTTTAATAACTTTGAGGTCTAAGGTTTGATCTGAGTAGCTACATTTTTAAACACAATATTTTTTTAAACAACAAAACAGAAATAGTCGCCCCCATATCTTCTTTATGTTTTAACCTTAAAATTTGAATAACCTATTAATTAAGATTGTATCTTTATATTTTTTATCAATATTAAGTGAATCGTCAGGTATAACACACACTCAAGAAATTATTTTTAAAAATAAAATTAAACATTATTATTCACTATTATACTTTTGATTATTTCTAAACTGTTCTTTTAGAAAATGTAAAATTGTTAAGAATTTTATTCAAAGAAAAGGTAAATATGGAAAAAAAGTTTCAATAATTCTCTTGAACTTTGAAACAGTCATTTATTTTGAATCATGAAAAAATTTTCAACAATTCAATTAATATGAACTAGAGATGAAAAAACTTTCAACAATTCACTTAATATGAACTAGAGGAAGTATACTTAACTAGTAGCTAAAATTGTTTTTGTTGTTTTTTCTCCATTACTTTTGATTTATACCATTGATAGTTTTATAATTTAAATTTCCGTATGATTTAATTATTAAGTGATATGTAATCTAATTCTGAAATTTTGTGATCCCCACTTCGCTAATAATAATTTTATTGATTGTTCTAAAGTTTGAACACCCTTGTCGAAATTTCTAGCTCTGACACTATTGGGATCATGTCAAGTGGACGAGCTCCAACACAACCGCTATATCATATCAAACACTTAATGGTAGACATGCACAAACTCAACTATGAACATGAGTATTTGATGAGATACATTATTGATGACCTACTTTGGATGTCTCGTCCAAACACATTGACTCTATATATCAATACCGACTAGTTTTTCTCCAAGTGTAGTTGTAAGCTTTCTCTTCTTCCGGTTCAGTTTCTTATTTATCTTTTCGTAAAAGAATGATACATATTCTTATTTGAAAATAATTTAATTTTGAACAGGAAGCTAGCAAGCAGTTGTTGGCGCCATTACTTTAAGCATTTTGAGGTTAAAGAAGAAGAAATAAAAATAGAGCAACTATTTTGAGCTTTTGCATTCCATGGAAGGTTAAAGAAGAAGTTACTGATGTAAAGAAGTACTATAAGTCGAGGAAGCTCATTTTCGTCTTTACTTGGCAATTCAATAAATAGTTAGGCCACTCCCTCAGCTTCTTTTGCCTTTACGGGATGAATTGTAATAATTATTCATATTGTTTTTTATCCAACTCTTATTAGAATCTAAATAATTCATTCATCTCATGTGTTGTTTACACACATAAACTTAGGTCTACATGGTTGTGCTTTGTTTAGTATCTAACTGTCTGTTACTAAAGCCTTTACATTAGACAACATGCATGGCTTAGACTGGTGGCCTAATTGCATAGTTTTTGCTTCTCTGTTGGACTTTGTCACTGAATGTGTCATATTCCAACAATTATGTTAGTTGTAATTAATTACTGTGATGATTAAAGATGGAATCAAAAATAAAAATTGAAAAGAGAATATACTATGTGTAAATAAATGATAAAACATAGTACATAAACATGCCTTTTAATTCAAATTTTGTTATTAATTTGACCACCTACTGCCGAAAACAATTAATGATGACCAATCTACCTATAATATAGTGTATGATGAACAACAATGATGATCAATCTACCTATAATATAGTATGATGAAATTATTTCTAAAGCCCTGCTATAACTTTGTACGTACCTATTGTCAATGTTAGTTAATCTTGTCCCATCTCTTTGATCTAAGTTTGAAGTAGGGAGAATCAAACAAATTCTGCTAAACTTTATAAAGGTTTCAACTCTTGGTCAGTATGAACATAAAACTACACTTGGATATACATGCTTGTAAAATGTTGCGGGAAATTTCACTTGGATTGTTGGATATTTCCTAATGCTCTTTATCCTGAGAACTTCTCTTCAGATTTTCCTCATCTTAAAACTTTGTTACTTGGCCCTTGTCAAACAGAGAAGCCTATCAATATTTCAGGTTATTCATCCCTCAGAAAATAAAAAATGTAAAGATTTTTTATTTCTTCATTATTATTTCTTACTTGTAACTAAGTGAATTCAATTATTCCTATAAGTTTACTCACGGCAATCATTTAATCAGATGACAGAAAAAACACATATCAATGGATCTAATTAATTTGATCTTTTCAATTACAGATAAACAAAACAAAACTTATACTATGATAAACATTCTCTAAAAAGGTCTAGCTAGCGAAAATAAGTAATAAGGTGCCGAACCTTTCTGTTAATGTGAGCTGTCGAAGAAGACACGGAGGATAACAAAAAGGATATTTTGGTCTAACAAATTTAATTTTTAAAAAATACTAGGGATAAAAATTAAATACTAAATGTCGGTGCAAAAACTTGTTGGTGAAGCCCATATATTTAATTGGGCTCAAAATTACCATATGACTGACTACTCTTCCTCATTGCTCAAATCAACCTATAGGTTTCAGTTTCAGTTTCAGTTTCAGTTTCCACACCATGGCTAATGGTGAAGAGCGCTTTCTCATTTCTCAAACAGTTAAAGAAGATATCCTAACAAATCCAGTAGATCTAACGTTACAATTCCCTGATCATCTTCTCCATTCCATATTTTCCTGCCTTAATTTTCACGATCTACGCCATGTCCGCCTTGTTTGCAAAAAGTGGCATCGGAACACCCCATCACACTTGGCTTTAAACTTTAATGAATCCGTCTTCCGTGAAAAAAATCCAACTACATACTCGGAAAACGAGTATTGGAATTCAATCCGTTTTTCTCTCGATGCTTCTAAAAATAAGTTGATCAATGCTGAGAAAAGAGCATTGCGTGTTCAATTCAATGATTGCGGGGATCTCCACGATATAATGAAATTGCTCGACGGAAACGATTTCCACGAGGTTTATTTGAAAATTGAGTCATTTCGTTCATGCTGCTATTACTCCTATTTGCCCTATATTTTTCAGTCGAAATGTCTTACTATTCTACATTTAACTAACTGTGAACTTGAAAAGCATGTGTTATTATGTGGAGAAGAAATAATTCCATCTTTGCAAGAGTTGAAATTGGAAGGCGTTACTTTATCTGAAGAAATACTATCCAAGTTTATTAGTAAGTGTCCTAATATTAGAGAATTGAGTTTGATGTTTTGCTGGGGGATAAGCTTTATCGTATTAACTAAGTTGGATCATTTGAAGAAGCTTTATGTATACCTTAGTTATTTTCATTCTTTTACAAACATACAAGTTGTTGCTCCGAGTTTACAAGTTTTCCATTTCGTTTTACGGAGTTACGAAAGCAGAGGTGTTCCTGTTAACATGGATATACGCTCTTGTAAAATGTTGCGAGAATTTCACTTGGATTGTTGGAAATTTCCTAATGGTCTTGATCCTGACAACTTCTCTTCAGATTTTCCTCATCTTGAAACTTTGTTAATGGGACCTTGTCAAACAGAGAAGCCTATCAAAATTTCGGGTTCATCCCTCAGAAAATGGATCTTGTCCTTCCCACAACTATATGAATGTTCAAGAAGAAGTATAGATTCATCTCCTAATTTGTCTTCTTTCCAATATATGGGTTCAACATTTCAACCATATTTAGCTCCTCCAAGTGAGCTTTTAGAGAACAACAATAATATTGTATTGGTTCCTAAAGTCCATGAGATCATGAATAGAGCTTGGTTCCACAAATTGAGAAGTCATCTTGAGAATTTTAGCAACTACAATACAACATTGGACTTATGCGTTCGTGAAGAGGTACACTAAATCTTGTAGTTAATCAGTTTTGTTAACTACTCTTTAATTTTTAATACAATCATTTTCTTACTATGTATTAATTATGAGGAAGACAAGATCATGTGGACATCCTAAAGGCAAGCCAAGTGGACGAGCTCCTACACAGCCGCTACATCATATCAAACACTTAATGGTAGACATGAAGAAGCTCAAATATCAACAGGAATATTTGATGGGATATATTATTGATAACTTACTTTGGATGTCTCATCCAAACACATTGACTCTATCAATACCAGCTAGTTTTTCTCCAACTGCATGGGTAAGCTTTCCCTTCATGTGTTAACAAAAGAAGTTGTTTGAAATGATAATTTAATTTTGAACAGGAAGTAAGCAAGAAGTTGTTTGGTAGAGGGGATCGCAATTGTTGCTCAGGTACTCAAGACAAGTGTTGGCGCCATTTCTTGAAACATTTCGAGATTAAAAGAGAAGAAGAAAAAGAAAAGTCCAATGTGCTAAGCTTCCCCTATGTCCATCCAGGAGCGGTTAAAGAAGATAGTGATGAAAAGATGGACAAGTTAATTTTCGCATTTACTTGGAAATCCAATAGATAGGCCACTCTCTTTTAAGTTTTGTGGTTTCTTTTACTTTTACTGGATGAATTTTGGTCTGCTTTTAGCACGGGTTAAGCGCTGTAATAATTATTTATATGCTCTTCTCCTCGTGAAAAGTTAAAATTAATTTCTATTTGTATTCAAAGTCAAGCACTTCAATTTTTAAATATCATTATTTACTTTAAAAACAAAACAATCTCTTTTAGTTCGGTTTCAAGAAGTGCTTAAGTGATCATATTGGAGTGTGATCGATTGTAGAAGATAATGGATTGTGGAACTTTGGTTATATTTAGCGAGGATACCTTTCCTTACTTTTCCAATCCCGATGATATTTTTATTCATGTATAAACAGAGGATTTTGACTGATTGATATATAAATTTATTCTGTATACTTTTCTCATTCGGTCATAAGTAGGTAATTTTCCTTTACATTAGCTAGCTGTTTAGTTTCCTTTAGGGAAGATATCCTCCGTCATATTTTTGGGACATTGGTGCCCATGCTGTTCATAAACTAGAGCATATATACCCTTTATACTAACGAACATACACGTGGTATAATCTTATCCACCGACCCTATTTAGTCTTTTGTTAGAGTGAAGAGCATATATGCTCTAGTTTTTGGACAGCAGGGGCACCAATGTTCCAAAAGTATGACGAATGGTATTTGCATACCATTTACGATAGTTCGGGGATATATTTGTCCTTTTCCCCTTTACTTTATTCATCATTTATGATTCTGCATTTACTATGCAGACAGATTTAACGGACAGCTGCATTTAGATTAATCATACATCTTTCGATTGAGTTCGAAATATAAAGTCGTTTTTGATAAAATATATTAGCAAATTCAGATGACTTGGACCTCAAAATGGATATCGGATATGATGTTAGATATTCACTAGCATTGTTAATTACTGCCTTGGAAATTTATAGACATTGAAATTTTGTGAGACTCTTACAAAACATGTTTAAATCGAGTTTAAACTCTACAAAGTGTGTTCAATTTTAATTAGGATTATTGGAGGCTACTCAACCCTAACTATGTACGAAGACAAGTTCACGTGGAGTTCCTAGGAGCAAGTACATTCTATCAAACACTTAATGGTAGATATGCACAAACTTAAATGTGGAGAGGAATATTTGATGAGATATATTATTGATAACTTACTTTGGATGTCTCATCCAAACACATTGACTCTATCCATACCTACTAGTTTTATGTGACACAATTTTAATATTTCTTCTTGTATAAGAATGATGCATCTTTTTATTTGAAAATAATTTGATTTTGAACAGGAAGTATTCAAGCAGTTGAATAATAGAGGGGATCACATTGTTGCTCATGTACTCATGAAAGTGTTTGCGTTTCTTAAAACATTTTGAGGTTAAAGAAGTAGAAGAGAAGAAAAAATAGAACAACCCAATGCATCAAGCTCCCGCGATACTCATCCCGAGAAAAGGTTAAAAGAAGAATTTAGTGATGAAAAGAAGTACAAGTTGACAAAGCTCATTTTCGTATTTACTTGGCAATTCAATAGTTAGGTCACTACAATTTTAATTTTGTGGCTTATTTTGCTTTTAGTAGATGAATTCAAGAACTCAAATAATTATTCATGTGATCTTTATTTATTATCCTCTTCTTTTCAATTAGAGAAAATGCACAAGTACCCCCTTCAATTATACACGAAATTTCAACGACATACCTTAACTATACATGAGTCCTATTATCCCCTAAATTATTTTTAAGTGTAATAAACACACCCTTAACATAGCCTAAAACCTATATAGCCACTCACTTGATGGGAGGTGTTTTACACTGGCCTCCAAGTCATCATTATGTCAGCGCCACATCAATAAATGATCAGATCTATAAAAAAAAATATAAAAGCTTTATGTATACCTCAGTTATTCTTTTACAAACATACAAGTTGTTGCCCCGAGTTCGTTTTACGGAGCTATGAAAGCAGAGATGTTCCTGTTAACATGGATATACACTCTTGTAAAATATTGCGAGAATTTCACTTGGAACTTTCCTAATGGTCTTGATCCTGACAACTTCTCTTCAGATTTGAAACTTTGTTAATGGGGCCTTGTCAAACAGATATTTCCACAACTATATGAATGTTCAAGAAGAAGTATAGATTCATCTCCTAATTTGTCTTCTTTCCAATATATATATGGGTACAACATTTCAACCATATTTAGCTCCTCCAAGTGAGCTTTTAGAGAACAACAATAATATTGTATTGGTTCCTAAAATCCATGAGATCATGAACAAAGCTTGGTTCCACAAATTGAGAATTTTAGCCACTACAATACAACATTGGACTTATGCGTTCGAGAAGAGGTACACTAAATCTCTTAGTTATCAGCTTTGTTAACTACTCTTTAATTATTTTTTGAATCATCTTTTTACTATGCATGTTTTGTTTTAATTATGAGGAAGACAAGATCAGGCAAGCCAAAGTGTACGAGCTCCAACACAGCCGCTACATCATATCAAACACTTAACGAAGAAGCTCAAATATCAACAGGAATATTTGATGGGATATATTATTGATAACTTACTCTGGATGTCTCATCCAAATATATTGACTCTATCAATACCGGGTAGTTTTTCTTCAACTGCATGCGTAAGCTTTCCCTTCGTGTGTTAACAAAAGAATGATACATTTTGTTATTTGAAATAATAATTTAATTTTGAACAGGAAGTAAGCAAGAAGTTGTTTGGTAGAGGGGATCGCAATTACTTGGAAATTCAATAGTTAGGCCACTCTCTTTTTTAGTTTTGTGGTTTCTTTTGGTTTTACTGGATGAATTTTGGTCTGCTTTGGCTCAAGAGCTTGTCCTCTTCTCTTCGCAAAAAGTTAAAAACAATTTTAATCTGTATTTAAAGTCAAGCACTTCAAATTTTAAATATCATTTTTTATTTTAAAAAATAAAAACTTTTTTTTTCAAATTTCACTATGACCAAATGCATGCTTAGTGTCTCTAATTTGAGTCTAAAATTTAAAATTGCTTTTTGATATAAAAGTGATCATTCGAGTTCATTAGAACTCAAAATAAATATCCAATAGAGATGGAAGCAAAAAAAAAATGTGAATAATCACCGGATGCAAAAAATTCTAATATATACACTGAGTCCTAATAAATTTCTATTAAATAAAGGGAATTTTGTATAAATCAAGAGCTAATAATATTTTATTTCTATTTCAAATTACAAAAATCTTTTAAATTTGGTGAAATTCGGATACATTTCAAAACATCCCAATTTATCGCGTTCCGATTTCGGATACATTACTCAACATTCCAATACACCGTATCTCGATTTCGGATATATCACTTGACGTCTTGATACATCACATCTCGATTTCGGATTCATAACTAAGCATCCTGAAAGTGATGTATTAGATTGATACATGAAATTTTAGAGAATTTGATGTGTGTGCTGACAAGTTGTACAACATCCATTTTAATGTAGTGTTTCTTATTAGTAAATTTTGACTCTTCAAGGAAAGAGGAAGAGGAAAAGTTAGATTTTGAGTTTTACCCTAACTCATACTCTTTTAGATTTTGAGTTTTACCCTAACTCATACTCTTTAAGAGAAATATATTTGCTTTTTAATCAAAATACTAATTTTGGAGTTTAAATGTAAAGATAATTAATCAATTCTAGCTTTAAGAGATATGAGTATTGATTGTATCTTCAATAATATCGTATAAAATATTAAAAGTGGTAATATATGTAATGGTTTAAAAGTAGTGGGAAAAAATTAATATATATTGATAGTGATGTAGATCTAATAAAATAGTTTATCATGAAATAAATTGTGTATTTAGATAAAAACCCATATATATATTGGACTCGTTAAGTTACACCTATTTTAGATAGATTTTTCCTTCAAATTAACCTAGTTAGGGTTTTGTGTTAACGTTTCAGTTTCCACAGCATGGCTGATGATGACGAACTCTTCATCATTACTCACACAGTTGAAGATAATAATCCAACAAATTTAGTAGATCCAGCCTTACAATTGCCCCATCATATTCTCCATTACATATTTTCCTACCTTAGTTTTCATGACCTGCTTCATGTACGCCTTGTTAACAAAAATTGGTATCTTAACACACCATCACACTTCAATTTCCACTTTAATGAATCTCTTTTCCGTAAAAGAGATCCAACTTCTTACTCACTTAACGACTTCTGGGATTCAATCCGTTCTTCTATCGACTCTTCTAAAGAGAAGTTAATCAATGTTGAGAAAAGAGTATTGCACGTTGAGTTTATCAATGACGAATACATCCGCGATATAATGAAATTGTTGGAGGAAAACAATTTCCATGAGGTTTATTTGAAAATGTTTTACGACCATTTGCCCTATATTTTTCAGTCTAAATGTCTTACTATTCTACATTTAACTAACTGTGTAATTGATGACCAGGATGTGTTATGTGATGAAGTAACAATTCCCTCTTTGCTAGAGTTGAAATTGGAAGGCGTTACTTTATCTGAAGAAATACTATCTAAGTTTATTAGTAAGTTCCCTAATATTAGAGAATTGAGTTTTGTCAAACGTTGGGGGATAAGCTTTATAGTATTAACTAACTTACCTTGTTTGGAGAAGCTTTATGTGAACATTAGTGATTCATCTTCTTTTACAAACATACAAGTTATTGCTCCGAGGTTACAAGTCTTCCATTTCATTTTACGGAATCGGGATCTTGAAATCGAAGACGTTGTTGTTACCATGGATATTCGTGCTTGCAAAATGTTGCGGGAATTTCATTTAAATTGTTCAAAATTTCCTAATGGTCTTGATCCTGAAAATTTTTGTTCAGATTTTCCTCATCTTGAAACTTTGTTACTTGGCCCTTGTCAAACAGAGAAGCCTATCAAAACTTCGGGTTCATCACTCAGAAAATGGATCTTATCCATCCCAAAGGTATATGAATGTACAAGAAAAAGTGTAGTTTCATCTCCAAATTTGTCTTGTTTC